GGACCCGAAAATTGCACTGCCGGTCAGAAGCAAGATCAGGACTTCTACAAACATGGTTTGGTGCAATGCTGTTGGACTTTGGCTGGCTCCAAAGGTGCAAGAAAGGGCTAGACATGAGGGCACTGGAGGAAGCTTTGGGGCAGACGCTTCTTACTCTTCCTCTGAAACAGCAGTATGTACTGTTTATGGAATGGTTGCGATATTTCTCCAAGCACGGTACTGAATGTCCTAATCTCAGTAAAGCTTTCCAAATATGGTGGCGCCGATCATTTTTAAGGGGCTCTGAAACTCATGCTATTGAATCCCGGTGAGCTGTGGTGTGTATTATTGTTGTAGAATAGGCTGAGAGATTTGAAAACATCTAGAAATAATGATGTAGATTGAATACTGGATGATAAAGCTATTAATGGACCATGTTTTCCTGCAAAGCTATTCCATCTTCCATATTTCCCATTAGAGGGTTGTCCAATGTTTACTGAACAAGAATAGAGAAAGCAAAAGGGGCAGAAAGTAAATATACAGGGTTGTATCAGTCCCTACTTCTACCCCACGGATCAAAAAATGCTAATGGTACCAACTCCTGGGTTTGCCATCTTTATTAATGTTATTTATCATCCTGTTCATTCAAAAAAAAAAAAAAAAAATTGGAATTTGTCCATCAATTTTATAGAATACTTGAAATTTGTTCTGTGCTAACCTAAATCTTTTAAATTTTATTTTTTTTAGTTGCAATAAGTATAACATGAGATGTTGACGTACCAGATTAAAATTCAAATCATTCAATAATTCCAATTTATATTTTTCTAATTAATGATTAAACCACAAGTGTTATATTATTTTTTTTAAAAAAAAGAAAAATTTTACATATGCTGAATCCAATGGTATATAATAAAATATTACTTATATATTTCATAATTTAATAATTTATAAAAAATATTTGTTTTTATTAAATAATTGATAAAATGATATACGTGTATACACTTGTTAATATAATAAATTTAACTTTGAACAACTATATTTTTTACATAAAATTATATTATGTGTTTCTTATCATATTTTTTTAATTATTTAGATAATTTTCTAAGAGAAATTTTGTTCATAAGATGAATTTCGTTTTTTTTAAAACATGGATAATTCAAGGGTATTTTCACCTTTTTAAAAGCACCAAATAAACTTTTTAGATTTAATTATATTTTGTTGGTAGTACTAATTACTATTAACTATATTTTGTTATTATGTTTTATTATATTGATTAGTATAATAGTAACTCATATGTTAAATAATAAAAATTATAACCAAAATAATACAAATTATAGTTCAATAATAATTCTAAAAATTGTTAATTACCAATTTTTATTATAAAGAGCTCTAATTTTCAAAAAATTCCATTAATTAAAATACTAAATTTTTTGTTCCTTAATAATTATTCTCTTTTTAAACACTATACTCCCTCAAATTATTATTAACATAATAATTAAATTAAATAATTTATTAAAAAATTATGTCAACTTATTAAATACTTGCTTGACCCCCCAACGCCTAGAGTGTATATTATACAACTACTGGCCTGTAAACTCTGTTCCTGTTCGATTGCAGTAAATTCTGAAGATAGTGAAACCTCCATTAGGGATCTGCAAATGGCGAGATCTACAGGCAAGGACGCTCGAGCCCTTTTCCACTCCCTTCTTTCTGCTTATGCTGCTACGCCTACCAACCTTAAGGTATTTCTCTCATGCTTTACTCACCTGTCCCACTAAATATACGCAACAATTATGTTAAACCTCCAAAAATCTGTTGCAGGTCATCGATCTGTATGTGGGTTTTGCGGTATTCACAGCTCTAATCCAGGTATTATGACTTTATGCATATATCTCTTTGTTTTCCCTGTATATGCATAGATTTTTATTTCTAGATCTGCTATTTTCTCTGAATTCTTGATATTGCATTATGAGTTATTAGTATTTTGTGCACCTTTTTCATCCAAAAAGTAAGGGTTTGCATTTTTGAATATATTTGTTTGTTATGCAAAATTTGATTTTCTTTCGTTTAATTATTTAATCAATTTCGTTTGCTTTTTTTTTTTTTTTTTTGTTGCGTTTGATCTTAACAGTAATACTGTATGATGATCTTGAATTTGGGTCATTCTGCATTTGCTTGTTGTTTAGATTCATGAAGGAATGCAATTGATTTTCTGGACCAAGTAGTTTAACAATTTTAACTTGGTGAAAAATATGGTTTTGACATGAGGAGATGTAATTGTAGCTTATGAGGATTATTACTTTCCGCTGCTGAAACAGAGAGACAAGTCGTTGGGTCAATTTTCAGTTCTATTCACTCATTCATACCCCTTATGGTAATTGCTGTATGCATATTTAGGATACATTTCCATGAGTTGTTAGCAGAAAATTGTGATATTTTCATCAGTTGTAACTTTTTCCAATATTTTTTAGATGAGGACTTTTTGCAATTTAAATTTGATGTTCTTTTACATAAATTTTGATGAATTTAAGCCCATCCAAGACTCTTAATCACCTGTTCCCTGGGTTCGATTTGACCTCTAAGTTAAGAATTTCCCATCCAAGACTCTTAATCACCTGTTCCTTTGGTTCCATTTGGCCTCTAAGTTATGAATTTGAGGACAGCTAAGATTCCTAAACACCTGCTTCTTTTGTGCGCTTTGTGCCTTTTGATTCATTTGGTCTTTTGATAATTGAGCTGTTTAAACTGTCCTTTACTTATACAATATCATCTCTTTGTAATAAAATAATCAAATTATGTATAGGTATAGGCATCTTGCAATTTTTTGTAGAAGTTTGCTTTTTTCATTTGGTCTCAATTTCTTTCTGAAGGAAGATCAAGTTATTAAATTTGTTGTTGATTTTGATTGGAACAAGAGTATGTTTGACAACAGACTCTGTTTGATTCTGTCATTTATGATATACGATTTATCATTTCATTTTGTAGTCAATTTTTATTTGTGCGACCTCCGTTACCTATTTGTTTTTTTATTTGTCGCATTTCATTTGTTTTTTTCTCTGTCGCATTTCACTTATTTTGCTGATAAGCAGGTAGTATACATGGCTATTGTTGGGTCTTTCCCATTCAATTCTTTTCTTTCAGGAGTACTCTCTTGTGTAGGAACTGCAGTACTTGCTGGTAAGTGGAGTATAACCCTTAGCAGGGTGGAAGCACTAATAAATTGTACTTTTTCTGATAGTCAATCTTTATTGGTTGCAGTTTGTCTCCGGATTCAAGTGAACAAAGAAAATAAGGAATTTAAGGTAGATTTACATTTATTTTCTTGGGTTTTTCATCACTTGTTGCCAGAATCTGGAGAAAAAGTTTCAAATTATTTTACCATGGTGGATTGCAATTGTTCTTCCCTTATGCCATACCATTTTACAAGCAATTAAGGGCGTCAAATATTGCTAAATGACAGTATTAATCACCGTCTTAGAGTTATTTCCCATAAATTAGTTGAGGAATGTAGATTTTGCTCATTTCTGTTGCTTTCTTTGAATGTGGGAGAGAATTTCTGAATATCATTACTTGTGTCACTCCCAACCTGTCCACTATCTTTGGTTCGCAAAACCTCCTTGGATCATTTGATGGAATAAAGAAACGAAAGAAAAGTAAAAAAGTTGGTGGGGAAGGATTAGATTGTAGTTGGAACTTGGGTTTGGGAGAGATGAGTACGAGTTAATGTGCTTATACACATGTATGCCCTTGGCTTAAATGACATTCATTTGATAGTGGGGTATGTTCTATTCTTAAAATTGCAGGATTTACCACCAGAGCGAGCTTTTGCAGATTTTGTTCTCTGCAACTTGGTGCTTCACTTGGTGATTATGAACTTCCTTGGTTAGGTATTGTTAGTGGTTTATTTATACAACATATCTGCATCTCAAACTTTGCAGGCTGACTTACGAGGCAATAGCAATACAGAATTATTTTTTGGATTATATGAATTGGTACCTCATTGCATGAATCAGATATACAAATTTGTTTCAAAATTCTAGCGGTCTGATGGTTCTTTATGTCATACCAAGCTGGTGACAGTTGAAAAGAAGAGTTGTGATCTGAAAGGGTTTTTCTATAGTACTTTGCCAGTACCCTATCTCGAACTTACATGTATCAAAGTAAAAATTTTGTGGAACTCAGCTTTATGAAAGATATATGGTACTGGCCACGAGGTAGCATCTTCCCCCATCTGAAAACATCTTCTAAGAAAATGGAGTCTGATGGGGT